TTTTAAATTGCCACGGCTGTTGGTTTCCAGGTTGCATCTTGCTGCCGGCATTGTATAAAATGGCAGGTACTTCTCTCGTTGCCGCTCTCTCAACTTGAAATCACTCGCAGAATTTCCTGCGGGAATGAAAGGTTTGATCTGGAACAACTAACAATTTTTTTCAGGGTGAAATGTTTGATTCTGGTGGCCGAACGATCTCAAAATTGGATCTGCAACTGCTCACCAAAAATGCAGCAAGCAGCTTGCGTCCGAAGTTTCAGGATGCAATCACGATTATCCTGATTATCCTTTCGCGAAAGTGTCATGGAATGACAGGTTCTTCAGAAGTGAATGTGCATCCTGTCCAATGGCAGTAAGAAACTGGGTGCTTATCTTCGCATCTCTCAAAGCTTTCTTAAGAATAAACCAGATTTCAATGCGTTCAAGATAATCTTCGATTTCGCGGAACCATGAGTGGATATTCAGACTAGCCAAGTAGCACAGATCCATGTGTTACAATGGCTGATCACGACGCCACTTGTGACATTCTAGTAAGTAACATTAATTGAAATGGTTAAAGCTCCAACTAAGAGTTAGCAAAGACGCGGAGATACTAACGAACAGCGAACGCACGTGAAAATAGTATTCGTGCATGCGGAATTACGCTAAGTTCAAAGTATAGTAAAGCACGAAGGGTACAATATTGTTCATGTACAATCATTACAGCAGCGTTGTGAGATGGTGCAGCGAAATGTGTGCACAGTCAACTGGGGATGTGAACTCTGCCATCGTGGGAGCACATATGACAGGTTCCGAGAGGACATTCAATGATTCGTAAACACGTGCAGGGAAGAAATTCCGAAGGCTGTCCAAACCACTGTACTGCTCGGCCACCTTGAGATAGTGGCCCCTCAAATGCCTGTTTTGACTGATCTCCGGCAAACGCGGGCAAGTGTGGTTGGTGTCCCTCAATATCCGTATTTAGATTACTAGAAATGACTCCGGTTTTTGACGATCAAAGTGTTACTGCTCTGATGCCTCGCTACCGTGACCTGACGTGACGTGACGTGTTAGTCGGAACATTCTAGCACTCTTGGATTAACTGCTACCGTGTCCGCAATTTTCCTAGTAATCCAGCCTGCATACACTCGTTTCCTCAGGCTCCAAGTGCTCTTTCCAATGCGCAGCGTGTATCGAATTCACGCATTACAGACGACTATCTCCTCTCGATTCTTACAATTTACATTTTCCATATTCGCTATGGAGGTATACAGGAGGAATTTCTTTCGGTTTGCAACCTACACCACAAATTTTGACCTTTATTAAAGTCCAATATAAGGGCTCTCTAACAACTACACGACTGCTTTTATCGGTACCTGCGTAAGGTAGATACAGGCGGCAATCTAACGGATCTACCGCTAATCTTTCGATTGTGTCGCAGTCACTGAGGATGCCAGCTAAAATCAATCCACCGGTCACAAAGCTCGTGCCACACCAAGAGGCGCTCTGACGAGACCGATAGAATGTGCTCCGACCTGAGGCCTGTCTGGATTCACCTGTAACAGCATGCGATCAGTCAGAAGGAAAATCAGGAACGCCTGTGTTGACCCCACGCCTAACCGGTGTGTCAATGGAACGGTGAGACAACATGTTCGGAATTGGTGGAGAGTTGGCGGTTTCGGCCAATTTCCGGGAGTTACGATTGTTACCAGCATTATATTAGATGTGGATGTTCAGTTAACGGTCAGAAGCTAGCACGCATTGTAATCGGTTTCCTATCTGCCCAAACTCTTACGCCTGCTAAAACCCTGCATGAAGACTGTGCCTTAGCAATCTTGTCGTTTAGCGTTTCACTGCCCCTGTTTCCTCTACGTCTGAATAACGCCGCATTATTGTCGGCAGCATCACCTTATGTTTGGACTGTGTTCTGCTCCGCTTGGCTTTCCATACCATTTTACACGCATGTTAGTGCATTGTACTAAACTTTTAGCGTGACACATTTTCGAAATCGCGTAGAGTACTTTCAAGTTAGCGAGGCTAAGAACGCTGTTTTGGCGTTCTCGACCCTCTCATTGGTCATGGGACGTAAACCAATGAGACACCGTTTAGAAGCCCACAGCATAAGCGCCAGACAGTCCAATGAAAGTGGTCGAGCACCACTTTCTGTTCTCGGTTGATGCCTATCTGAAGCAAACCTCCATGATTGGTCTCCAAACTGAAACCGTCCAATGCGCAACTTGTGCTGCTTGTCTAAGGAGAACATCCTAGCTACCACATGATCCGAAGCTTAAGATGTAACCAGTGCGGACAGACATACTAACCAGCACATGAAGCGGTCTATAGTGATCACTAGCGGCTACCTGCTGGTGGCTTATTCAGCGGCGTAACCATGGTGGCGTAGACAGGCAATCTTCTAACTGGTATTCTGCGGATCAGCAATGGCTGCTAGGGGGTTAGACAATTGTGTGCGGTTGTCATTGCAACGATCATAGGGGACATTGTTTCCATTGAAGTTGGTAGACCAACCTGAAGCTGAACAACGAAAATGCTAACTTTGCTTGCTTCGACCACAGTTGATGACTCATCAAAAAATAATAGGATTCCAAGTGCGACGTTGAAACGAGGTTAGTGTGTGTTCATTTGTCTCCACACCATGGGCGACTTTATTACTCAGTTATCGCTTCAGTGTGTCCATGTATGGCGTTATGTGAAAGTCATAGGAACCCATGTATTCATAGGATAATTAGACTTCACTTCCATATGATGGCCCATACGTGCTGAGGGGCTTTGACAAGGGGCTCACCAGGTAGTTCACTGAAATGGAAGTGCTTAAACAATCACCGTCAAGGTAATGTTCCGCACACTGCTTTCTAAGTTGTATGTGACGTTTCGGAGGTTAGTTCAGTTCTAAATTACCAGTTGTTACCATTCATGCGTGTGTTCAGAAGCACGTAATTGGAAATGAGTTGAATTTTTGGCGCTTTCTGCGGAATACTCGTCATAAAAGAAGTTTTCGTACAAGCGTGTTGCATCACACCTGCTACCCAAAGGACTATGTATCGGTACTGTTTTTATCACAGGCTCCTTCTCAGTGAACATGAGCTCGAGGATACTCGCTTTGTTCCCCTCTCTAAATCTTGTGGGGGAGGTAACATGATTGCATATTTGCAATCAAACGATTAGCTCCAACAACTCCATTTTGCATTTCTCCTCCAGACAGGCTGGGGTTTCTAAGGCGTGACGATTGAAGTCATCAAGCAGGAGAATTTTACTGTGGAACTGTGCTATGATAGTTTTCATAGCAGAGGCTAGGCAATAGTTCATTTCTGTAACGGACGACGGGGAGCAGTACACGACGCCAGTAAACATGTGTTCCCACTTCTTAGGTAAAGAAGAGAACCAAGCGTGTCGATAAGGTGGACCTAGGAATGATCGATGACCTCAAGACCCAGATCGCTGTGATGATAGAGAAATGCACCACTTCTTCTATTCAGTCGATTAAGCCGCAGATTAGACATGCCAGTTGCACGACTTCGGCGTCCGTGTTCGTTTAAATCAACTGCGTCTAGGTTATATGATGAAGGCTCACGACATCGTGGCCGGATGCAGCCGAAGCTCCATCAATTTGCTGAAAAGGTCTTGAGCGTTGGTATAAAAATAAGAGATAGTGCGTTAAAAGCCATAAGACTGGTGGAAGATGTAGGCAACATTGCTATGGGGTAGCTGGCTGACGAGATGGAGTTGGGATACATTGCTACACCAGACACTCCGGATCATAGCAGTGCAGCAGCAACATGGCGCCCACTAAAATCGCTCATGTATTACTAAACTGCTAACTGCACGCGACAGTTAGCCACATGCTGCTGGTGTAGTTGGAGTCGACGCCATCCACCTGGACTTCTTAAACGCCTATGGTCGCTTAACCCAGTAAATTCTCTTTCACATGCTTCGGAAATTTGGCATCAGTGACTAAACCCTAGGTTGGATAGTCAACTTTCTACGTGTACGTAGTTTGCAGGTGAGTGTCCTGGAAATTGTCCAATGCAATTGCTGTGAAATACGGTGTACCAAAAGATAAGGCGATCTAGCCTTGCCTCTCTCTGTTTCCATGAAGGATCTGGCGACATTACTTGCTCCCGACTTCTTATTCTTCACAGATCCTACCGATAAACAAAGAAGGGTGGGGTGCTTGAACAGGTGCTAGGGGCTCCAGTCTGATGGTGACGTGATTTCGATCTGACCAGTTCAGGATACCCTACAGTACGATGTAGAAGGGATCGGGTTTTCCAACTATTCAACAGACACGACAATATGTTTCGGCTTGGGTGACAGAAACGGAAACCACTTCTCAGGAGCGCGACGTTGATTCGCTCGTACAGAGTGAACTCAAATGTTCAATACATTCTGAGGCAGCTGCAAAAAGGCAAACAGCACGTCGGCCTGTTGCGGAAAGCTTTCGGGAGATTTGAATTATCAAGCTGCTTGGTATTACATAACTGTTACACGCAGCTTCAGGTTGAATAACCTATCCAAGCGTTACAACCTTGATGCAAGCGCGACGTCAAGACGCTAAAGACAACACAGCCTTAGGGAAATAAATAATGTCAACGGTCTACGCATTCTCTCTTACGATCAAAGGCAGAAGTAACTGTGGGTTTTCAGCTGACGTTGCTGACAGCCACTCGGATATCTCATATTAGTGTAACTAAGCTTGAGTAACCCCAATCCCGTATGTCGCCAAGAAAACAACTTTAGAATTAATTGTCTGAAAATATGTGAACAATACTGTCTTTAGGTACGTTGGTAGAAGGACCATTCCCTTCGGTTTCGCCAACACCGGAAAACGCCCTGATACTTCGTTGTTTCCCCCCTTGTCTTGACTATCATCTAAATACAATTGGATGTTGCTTTTAGCTCCCAGCGCTTCATTACCTAAACTGTATTACTGTGAAATACCTTTATAACGTGTTCATGCTGTATTTATATAGCGGTACATATGTGAACGTTTTTCTTTTTTTCTTATCCGAGAATACGTCGACTATGACCGATTCCCAAATTGTTTCAAATGTTTACATTCAATTCTCGTTTCACCTTATCAGCATACAGTGGCGCTTTTAAATCAAAAGACTATTGAGGCAGTTAGTACCCATGGAAAGTTTTGCCAGAAAAGTTAATACAAGTGTGACGCAAGAGTTAATGTCAGAAAGTTTTCTCTGCATATTTTCAAGTGCGTACTGCAGACGCGTGAATTTATATCATCATGAAATGAAGGCAGTTGAAAGTACAGGTCGACCGCACACACACGCAAAGGCAGGCACCTTGTCATCTGTCCCCGGCCCGCTATCATGACAGAGTAAGGGTCACAAATGCGTCTTTCTGCAGACACAGAGGTGTCGTTGTTTGATGGCCATGGCCTCAGCATATCGTAAAGTTGGGGGTTCACTGAGGTATAGATAACACGGAATGCTCGTTTCGTGTGATGATTCGCATATCCTTTGAATCCATGTTTCTCACCCCAACCGTCCTACTGGACATGTCAAACACCTGCTTTTCTACCATTGATCCTCCGGTGCCAATGTTTCTGGTCCTAAGCCTCACAAAAGCGAAAACCGTACGAACATTGGTACGGTCCAAGAATAAAAGCGTTGTAGTCAAAATGCGACTTTAAGTTTGGATTTGGAGTACCCGCTGTGTGAATGGATTGCGACATGCAATCAGTATTGAGACCTAGGTTCAATTCAAAATAGACCTTGATTCGTCTTATCACAAGAATCGTATCCGAATTGTAGGTGTTTCAGTGCTGCTACTTCTAGTGCTGACACATCATAACCGGTTTCGTCCTCGTTTGGATTCATCAGATGGAGTTAGCCTGAGCTGAGGTGAAAGTCAGTGAAACTCGGTGTCAGCCGTTAATTATAGACAGCGAGTCCCACCTCAACTCAGGCTATCTCTATCTATGAGTCCAAACGAGGATGAAACCGGTCATGGGGTGTCGTCGCTGGGAGGAGCAACCCCGAAAGTGCCGACTTGTTTTATTCCCAGTGACTACGTGAGCGGTTCCTTACATTCACAGCACATGCATGTAGAGCAGTCTGTCCTAACACCACGTTTGTTCATTAAACAAACCAACCTAGTGAGCTGACAGAGAGTGGACTAATTTCTGCACATCCAAGGGGTTTTTCTGTATCATATGTTTTGACAAACTGCCAGTGTATACCACGCAATCAAAATCATCGATCACTGAGGGTCCTACAAATTTTGCCAACATTCCGGTCGAACGTCCGTTCCCGAAATTTTCACTTGATTCTAGTTGAAGATTTCGGTTAACTAATAAGCGTTGTCTTAGCTAGAACCGAACAGGCTTACCTGCAGCCAACATCTCATTTGAAATAGGAACTGAACAACAAGTGGAGGAAGTGCAGGACATGTGATGCACTGGTGTTAATGGCTGGGGAATCCTTAAATCCTTACCTTCACATCCAATCAGATGAGGACCAATAGAAGGCACGGTTTGCTGATTAGAGGCTGGATTAAATGTAATAATTTTTGCGCGAATTACAACACGCAAGGTTATTACATACATGCAGCCGTTTACTCTGTACGAAAACACATTTGCAGTAAATGTTGTTCATTTCTACTATAGAAGAATGTAAAAGTTGAGGAGATAATCGCAGAGGAGGCAACCAGCGAAGCGTTAATCTATATAAATCTGACATTTTTGAAGCGGAACAAAGCACCGTATTCGGAATTCACTCGTTATCAAATAAATTTTATCACATCTTCAAATGTACTGTAAATATTCGTGTCTTTCGTAAGCTAAGTTGAGCTTCGCATCTTCTTTTATATCAATATGACCCAAACTGAAAAGATCGCCTCGTTCTTTTACTTGACAATACCAGTCCACAAACTCGGGACCTATTTTTTCTACAAATACATGATCATTCTTCAGCAGCTGCAATGCCTCCTGCAGGGTATTGGGTAACAGTGGACAAGTAGGAGACGGTCGCCCCTGAATCGGCTTTTGGCCTTGCTCAAAAGGCTCCAGTTTACGTTCAATACCATCCATTCCGGCAGCAATGGTGGATGCCAACACATGATACGGACAAGATGCTGATGATGGAAGACGACTTTCTATATATGTCCTTTTCTCATCGGTGTTTTTGACACGAAGAGACACGAATCGATCATTTATGCTCCAATTAACAGCATCTGGAGCGAGATTCTTGTGCAGCCGACGGTAACAATTCACCGTGGGTGAGCAAAATGCTAACATGGCCGGAAGATGAGCTAGTAACCCACCGATCCAATGACGCGCGAGTTCCGAGAGATGGTCTGGATCTGAGAGAATTGAAGTTGAAGTAAAGTAAGGCAAATAAATTTTGCGTGTACAAGTATAACCACTCGGCTAACAATACTAAAAGTTCAAGGCATTGTAGAGAGAGCATGCATTGAAATGTCACTGATAACGTGCATTACTCTAAGAATTTGGAGTGTCAGAAAATACGAACCAATTGTAAAGCAACTTAATGAGCGGGTTGTAGAGGTGTTACATGTGGGGACGGAACAACTGCATTCTGGAAATAACACTCAAGGTAGTCCATGGATGTACGACGCACATCCGAAGCAACTAAGTTTGAGGACGGGACATTTTACACAGTTGCACACACTCATTTTGCCAAGCAGTCTTTTGAAATTCGCCAGAATCCCGTCTTCCTAGGAAACTTTGTCTTAAAAGAAATAGCATCGACTCAGAGGCAGATGCGTCTGATGTGATGTGGGGGTTTGGAAGGTATGTTACTTAAATTTAGCGGGAAACCATACCGAGCGCTACTGCTGTAAAACCTACAGAGCGCCACCTACGCTGACAAAGAATGTGTCTGTCGTCCCTCATGGCATCTCAATTTGCACTATATGATCTGGTGTGCTGTACTTAATGGGTAAAACACTGAATGCAATAACGTACCTTGTCATTCTAAATCCTCTGCGTCATATCAAGGATGTAATTCCTTATGCCTTCTTTTCTTTGATTATTTGAATGCCTTTGAAACTCAGGATAGATCAGTGTTGTTCTATCTGTCTTTTGAGAAAGTTTTGCCGAGTGGCTTGCAATTTACTACTTGACTGGTTTACGGAATGCAAGAACTTCGCCCAGTTTAAAATTCCTCTGTTCCATGTGCTGATCTAAATGCCCTGCAGAAAGCGACGCGATCACCATTCCGAGTGGAATTTTATTGCATCTCCCATTATGGGACCAAAGTTCATTGGACGTAAATATGCTGACAATGCGCTGCTATTGATTATCTCCTCAGTATGCAGGCTTTCTCATTGACTCAACGTAGACTAGGAGATCATGAGAAGAGGTTTTCAGCTAGATTCCTTACTTGTAACCAATTCGAATACAGCGCTATAGTATTTGGTTTCCTAATTTGTGATAAGTTGCGGTCTATAGTAAATAGCATCCAAATTTGATTGCGGTTGGCAATCTCACAATTAGATGCTTCATTGTCAAGTATGTCCATATGTTTGGTTCAAAAAGATCTCTCGGTCCAAAAAACTGTGTGAAAGGTTTTAAAAATTCGCGGAACTTTCTTTGAGGTTCTTTGATTTAGGTACTCGTATTGCTCCATAGTCGAATATTATGGCCTGTGCGTTCATTCTCTATCTCCAATGGTTTCACTCTCATCTTCCTTGAAATTATAGTGCGATCGATAAAACATTTTTCAAATGCAGTGGATTTGCTTACCAATTCTGCAGGTGATTCGACCAATCCTAGGAATATTAATGCGCATATTTGTTTTTCCTTTAAGCTCCCAAATGATCAGGTCAATCTGTTACACACTGAACGTAACATTTTTTTATCGCAGTTTATCGCATCGCTGCACTGTCCGACCATGATTTCACGACTACTAGCTGACCCAAGGAACATTACATTCAACCCGTGTAAATGATAACTAGAATGACAGGTGTGTATTTATTTCAGTTTTCTTCTTCCTTATCCATTTTTCATTGATTGGGGGAGGCCATTTCTCGTTGTGGCTTGTGGTAGCTAGATCCTGACAGATCTTTGACCCCTTGTTCCAAATGTAGCGCCGCGAACTCACCTTCTGGAAGCATTCTCGTGGCGAATACTGGGTGTGAGTTTGGTTACGCCCATCTTCTAGCTACTTGCTAGAAGATACACAATTCAGCTTGAGTCGGTTCACTGACTCATGACGCACGGCACGGTGTCATTTCGGGTGTACATTTTATTGAAAGCTTTGGCTGAGTATCCCAGTCCTTCTCCTATCAGGTGTGGACGACCTGGCAGTACAACAATATAACAACTAACTAGTAATTGTGTGCATACAGGTGATCTCACGCTACCTCGGCGGTCGCGTAACGGCACTATGGAAACGATCACCTTATCTGCTAAATACAACGAGGTGGATAAACGAAACATGACACTGCTGACGTCTCCCTTCTTCCTCCTTCCCCTGTACATACTCTTCCTATCCCCGTTTCACCTGACCAAATGCTTCCTCCAATCCAAGTAACTATGCTTGCAGCTGCCAGCCACTGGAATCGTATGCATACGCGCAAAGCGCTCAACATCTGGCACTAGAACATTCGCATGCCACTCCATTGGCACGCGAGTGAGCGTCCCTAGGGACGCACTGCACCGGTCGCAATGGAGCTCGCGCGCAACGGAATCGACATAGCTGCTATCAATGTAACAGGGCTCCCTGACCAAAGCAAACTATTTTAGGGTTGTGCGGGGTGCACATTCTACAGAGTAGAAAACGTCACTATAGCACCACGTGTCCATGGGGTCTGATTTAGTCTATTGAGGAGCCTAAATGACCAACTGGTGGCAGACCCGACTGACATTCTTCAACCCCCGATGACTCTTTGCTTGCGACTTGGAAGACGTAAAGTTATTTGTAACAGCACGGATGATCCCACCATGTGTTATGCTGTTGAAACGAGAGGCAAGTTTTATCCCTACTTGTCCTCCGTGATGCAGTCTGTGCAGAGAAGCGACCGGCTATTCATACTCTGTGATTGCAACGTAGATTTTGGGCGCGATGCCGCGGATAGGATACATGTCGTCGGTCTGCATGAGATTGGCAGAGCCAATGGGAACGGTCGACCGGATGCTCTCACTGGGTACCACTCATGGTTTGAGGATAATGAATAGCCGGTTTGTACTGAGTGCGAGTGGTATAGCTACTTGAAAGCACCCACCGAGTGGTCATGGTCATCTACTCGACTATGCCATCACATGCCAGCATGACATTCGTGAAGTACGCATGACACTTGTACTGTGTGGAGCTGAGTGTGACACTGCTCACAAGTTGCCTTGGATTTAAGTTTACTTATTTGCATAAATTTATATATTGCACTCCTGTCATGAAACGACGCAAATATAACGCTCTTCGTCTAAGTACTGCTAAAAATAGAGAATGGAGTTGGAGAATGTGATGGCTGCTAGCATTGACGCTATCATATCTATCGACCCAGTCAGCGACCTGTGGAATAACATCAGAAAAGAGGTGGCTGTTGCTGCCGAGCAAACTATCAACCGCGGAAGTTGTAAGCAGCCCGATTGATTTGATGACAACAAAGCGATTATTGGCGCATTGTTTTCGGCGAAGAATGCAGCGTTTTCATCACAAGTGGATTGGCTGCTGACCACCAGAAAGAGAGCCATTTGCGCGCTTTGACCGCGATTGTGTTCAGAGCTCCGTCACATCAAGAATTTATGGTGGACGGACAAGGCGGAGTAGATCAAATGCTATACCGAACGCCGATAACATAAGGAATTTCGAGCAGCTATCGTGGCTATACTCATCCAGCCAGCCACCATAAATGCAGTAAACCTCTAGACTGCCCTTTCGTCCTACTGGAAGTAGTCAGTAGTGCGCAACCACTAAATAATGCCGTTTCCGAACCCATGATCTTACTCTTACGCGCAATCGCCTTATGCCACTGGGTCATGGTTGACGGTGGCAGACCATCCTGACTGATTTCTTCTCAAAATACAATAAACCCTCCTACTACATATTCACAAATAGTACTCGCCTTAGCAGCTTATAGGCCACCTCGAATGATGGTCGCTTGCAAAGGTTGTCGTGGCTCTGGAGGCCAACCCTATTCTCTGCATGTTTCTAACATGCAGTACCGTGGATGATAAGCAGCGCCATATCGCAATTAGACATTAGTCATGGCCGTCCGCTGCCGTTACCTATGGCTTAGTAGTGTAAGTCGCTGGCTCGCGAGAAAAAGGTTATTGAAAAGGATTCCGCAGGATTCTGCGGCTGTGCGGTACTGACTAGACCGAATAAGAAGAAAAGGTTGTCTAACACTTTTCTGAACGTGTGTCCACTGCCCGGCTGATTCCAATTGCAATGAATCTTGTCAAAAACACAAGCAATACACCTGGTACTCCTTAACATAAAGAATTGGAAATTGAGTGTTGCCCGCTCGAAAACACTGCACAACCACGATGCGTTTCGATGTAATTTCATCTCATCAGGTGGAGACAGCAGGCCTCAAAGCCGATACCATTGAAATAATGGCCGAAACCTCTACTCCTTTTGCTACCGGGTCGCGTTCCCACTGATCGCAGTGACTAACGTTCACTTCAATGTGAATCACGGTCCGTTACATTGAGATTGCGCGTCGCAATGGAATCACACAACGTGTAGCCCATACTTGACCCACAAATCAGTAATTTACCGTTATGCCAAGCGTTGCCCCCCGTGACCAGGTATCCAAAGTGGTAGAGGTTTCTGCTACTATTCTAATGGTTGCGGCTTCGAAGGCTGTTGTCTAAACCAGATGAGATGAAATTACATGGAAACGCTTCGTGATTGCGCAGTGTTTTCGGGTGGGCAATAACTAATTTCCATCTGCTTTGAGTACGGTCGCAGTGATCGCAATGACTAAGGTTCACCTCAATGTGAATCAAGGTCCATTACCTTGAGATTGCGCGTCGCAATCGAATCACACAACGTGTAGTCAAAACTTGACCCTCTAACCTAAGGAATTATTTAACAACTTGAAGTCGGAGATTGGACTGCCGTCGCAACAGATGAGGACGCTGCTCGCTGCTACTGCAGGCGCTGCCTGCACACAGACTGCAGACATACTGCAAATCTGACGGACAAAATCTAACCCTTACTTGAACAACCGTTCCGCGATTGACTAGCCTCAGTTGCACGGGTTGCAACATGTAGTGATGAAGTTGCGTATTTGCCACCCACTGACAATGTTTGGGGCACAGAGATCATTTGTTCAGCTGCGAAACGGCAAATGCGCCAGCGCCGACGTAGTCCTGCCGAAAGTGTTGAAATACA